AATATTTGTAATGGGCTTCTTATCCTGGTTCTCTGGTATAATAACAGTTCTTATCCTGGTTCTTTGGTATAATAACAGTAGTAATAATAATAATGATAAGACAAGAAATATTTTGGCTTTAAACTATATATTATTTTTGACATAGTTTGTTATAAGATTATTTAGTAAAAATTTGTCTTTGATTTTAGATCATTTATTAAAACAATTTATTGCCTTGGGGATGGTGTAACTTCTTGTTTTTTTCCCCTAATGAATACACTGAACAATTGGGTGACCCAAGAGAGAGAGAGAGAAGCTTAGCTAGATGTAATACTACTTCTGTCGGAGAATTAGATTGTAAACATTTGTATTAAGGAACTTGTTATGATGGAGCAAGAGTTTTTGTCACAGAATTAGATTGTTTAATGTTGCTTGTGCTAGTGACAGGCTTTGGAAATTGGTCTGCAAGACAAATTGATTTTGATAATGTCACGGCGGCCAAGTGTCTCGAGAGACTGGCTCTGTTAACTATCAATATTACGGATTTAACAAGAGCCGTGTCCTTAAACTGTGGAATTATCATGTCTTTTAATAGAACATTCTAAATGCAAGACTTTTTTATGTACACCGAGGACAGACTATTAACAAATTATAGTTATGCTGTATTCAAGATAGGAGACAACTACTTAAGTTTTAATGCAATCATGCTTTGATAATTTACATTGCGAACCAGGGATGGTAACATCCGGTAAAATTGTTGCAATTTTAAAAATTTTGCAATACAGGATGTTGCTTTATTCAACTGTTTATAATTTTGTACTTTTAATTAAGAAATGCATGGAGGTCTTCCTCTGTGACAAGTTTTATAAAAGGCTTTAAAGAGCATCATACGACATGTGCTTAAAAGGTAAAAAAGGACGTACATGTACATGCGATGAAGGTCGTATGGCACGCACCTGGTACATTGTTGGATGCCTGAAGTAGACTCATGTTGCCTGTCCCAAAAATTCATAGTTGTATCACATGCACAAACAAAGAATAATTATTCTAGTTTCATTACAGTTTCACCATGTAGGTTTTTTTGAATGTTTAATAATTAATTCACTGTTGCTAATTAGGATGCATATAAATAAGGTAGTTAGATTGTTGCGTAACATTTCACACATGTGACTGGTGCAGAAAATATCTCATGTCTTTATGAGGTATAATTAATTATAAGACTGTGTTCCTAGAATGGATTTGAATATACCATTATTCGCAGTTTGGATTCCATTTCTTTGTTTGGTAATTACTCAGAAAGGGGGAATAAACATAATACTTTATCAAAATAGTTTGCAAATAACTCTTTCATGCAGTAGGTTTTACAAAATGTAGGACAGTGGTGAATTTTCCATGAATGATATATACTAGGGGCAGAATTAAAATTATTTTTGCTACCTGGAGTCAAGTGCCCTGCAAGAATCTTTACTACCTGAAGTAAGGTGTCCTGGAAGAATCTTTGCTACCTGAAGTAAAGTGCCCTGTAAGAATCTTTGCAACCTGAAGTTAAGTACCCTGCAAGAATATTTGATACATGAAGTAAAGTACTCTGCAAGAATCATTCCTACATGATTTAAAGTGCCCTGCAAGAATCTTTTCTACATGAAGTAAAGTGCCCTGCAAGAATCTTTTCTACATAAAGTAAAGTGACTCACAAGATTTTCTTTGCTACCTGATGTAAATTGCCCTGCAGGAATCTTTGCTACATGAAGTACAGTGCCCTGCAACTAATTTGCTTGATTTGAGAGTGTTTAAATAGATTATAGATTCCAACACAAACAAACTAAAATCAATTTGTATAAACTAAGGCACTGTCACATGTGAGCAAGTGCATTGCATAGTTTCATTAAAAGTGTTCAATTTATATTACATTTTTGAAGATCAGAGACACCTTTTGCAAACTTTAAATTGGATTTTTTTCGATTTTAAAAGGCAAGTGGTTGCTACAGCTTGTGCCATAAAAAACCAGACTATATGTAAATTAAATGTATATTTGACAGATGGTGTGACTTTGTTACTTAGTGAAAGGAATTTATTCAAATGAAAAGTTGAAGTTGCATCTTTGTTTATCACCTGGTTTGAAAAATGTGGGATTTTTTACGTCAAGGTCTTAATTTCTTTTGTTTCTATATTTAGAATATTATTGTCACCTGTTTCTTGTGAGTCATTTGATGTAGATGTCCTTGAAATTGAAATTTGTTGTTTTGTTATAAGTCCTTCATTTTCACACCTTTTAAATGCAATACTTATATTGGAAAATTGTAACTTCTGCATACATGAGTTATTGCCCTTGTCCTAGTCAATAGAGTAACTCTGGAATAAAAAGTTTTGTTTTGAAATTTCCTTACAAATCTGGGGGTGCAAACAAACGCCATAAAGTTGTGTTGTTACACTTATCAGTGATAAAATAAATCAAAATTAAGCTTACTATTTTGAGTTGTGGTGCACTGTGAAGCTGTAATAGTTGAAGTTTGTATGTACCACCAGATTTAAGATGGGGGAAAAAAAACCCTTGTTTGTTGAGTTCAGGGTAACAACTGATAAGAACAAAATCATTTCCAATAATTAATCCCCGTTTTTCTGCATTCAGTATTCTAACCGTTGACTTGGTTCAGCTGCAATTAAAGAATTTAATCAGAAATACATGCAATTGAAAATCGTCACATATTTCATGGGATATAAATTGGGGTTTCGGAAAAGTTTTGGAACAGCGTATATTACATGCCTTTTTCAACAACGAAATGTGTGGTAAAATTGATTTTAGTGCTGTGCATTCTTAGAGACTGTTACATTTGAGATGTTGATTGACAATTTGCAAATAGACGAACTACAAGTCGGGGACCTTTGTTGAGTTACATTCGTTCCAGCGTAAATCCAATCAATGGCTGTGTCAATGTTATTACATGACAATTTCTGTTTATTTCATTGCATTAATTCCCCCCCCCCCCCAATGCTTATTTTTCCATTTTAATCCTTTTGCCCATTTGTATGTTGATAGGAGTATAAATTATAGACTGCTTGTGTAAAAGAAGTTTTTTTTGAACGAGAGGAAGTGTATTAGAGCTCTTTCAGATTGAATACATGGTCTTTTGTTTCAGTATGGAGGTCTTCCTAATATTGCATGGTCTTTGATGATTGCATGGCTGTCCTTGTGATTGCTCCATGTTAAATTTCAATGTGACCTTACTTCATTCCAGTCCTCGTAATGTGGTGTGTGGAAATCAGTATGGTCTCTTCTATTTCCCTCCCCCTATTTTTTTTTTCTGGTTATTCAGTCTGCCTCTTCTAGTAAGTTAGTGTATATAATTTTATGTGGTAATGCATGTACTTAAGTTTTGTTTTTTTTTACAAGTGAGACAGTGCATTGCCTGTGTCATGGTGACACTTCTACATACAGCTTCCCCCCCCACCCCACCCCGGCGGGTAACTTAATGCATCTTGTAATTGATCTACAGATCAGATAACCAGTCAGCTTCAAACTAAAAGCTTTAGGTGCGAAAAGAGTGAGAGCATTTGTGTGAGTCAGTCGCTCCTAGTCTGTCTGCAACTTTATATTCCTGTAGCATCCCTGATTAGAGTATCGCGCTGATTAAAGGAAAAAGGCGAGGACGGTAAAATTCAATTGTTAAAACTCTGGCGTTATTAACCTTGGAATTAAGATGGTATTTATAGCAATTAGTTTGGCAATACATTGTCATTTTCTTAATTCTTTGCTGTGAGTTGAATTGTTTTAAGAGTTAGTGTATTAGCCCTGGTGGAGCAATAAGTTCGCTACTTGTTTTGATATTGAGATTGCAGGTAAAATTAATTAGGCGATTTTTTTGTTCTTATTAGTGCAAAGGTTGTAATAAAATATCTTGGCGCATTTTGAAATTCGTATGAGCATCAGAAAAAAGGACACTTAGAGTTGAACACATTATTTTCAAGTTATGGGTAAAGAAATAATTGTCTCAGTCAGTAAATAAATTCAGAGAGAGAGAGGTCGTGCACAAAGTGTTCAAAAGTAAGGATTTTTTTCCCTAAAAGATGGATTGTTTGTTAAAAGTAAACTTTCAAAATAAGAGAAAAGACTGAGTCAAATATGATTTAGAATGATGGATGCGAGTCTGGAAAATTCCCGAGAAGTCAGAAATTACGATATATCCTTTCCACATGCCTGAAGTAAAGTTACGGAGAATTGTCATATATATGTGATTAGTTTGTGCAGGTGAGGCGTGCAGTAATCGATATTTTACGGCTTTCCGATATTTTACAGTTTTCCGTCTGGTCTTGTAAGCTAGTGATTCATATCATTCCACAAGAGATGCATTAAATCGTAATTTTTTTTACGTGTGAAAAACGAGTATGAGTGATTCAAAGGAAGCTGCTTCAAAGAATGAAATGACTGTACAGTGATCGGGAAGTTTGAGAGCTCGCTAGACTAAGGATCCAAGTGCATCTATACAGTGATAATATCAAGTAATTTATAAAGATTTAGTCACTGTATAAATTAGATTATTCAGGTTTCATTTAAAGTCATTAAAATTTAATCTTATCTTATTGAATGCTTTGTATGCGAGCTCGATGTCACAGTCACCATTTTGTGAAAAGGTTTTTTGTTCCTCAGATGGATTAGCTGAAGTAAATGAACTTTTCGGAAAAAAAAAAAAAAAAATTACGGACATTGAACAAACTTATGTGCACGATAGTTGTTTATGATCTAATCATAATTGGCTGCGAGATTGAGTGAGATCGTAAGTGAGATCGCGTCATCATTGTGTATGATCCAACTGAGAGTGAAATACGGAGCTCATACAAAGGACGCAAACAGCGGAGTCAGTCATGCGTGGTGAATGTATAAAATATAATCGTCATTGTGCTAAAAGGTTTCTGCATAGAAACTGCTAAGAATATGTAAATGAATTGAGAAAGCCACTGGTGTTAAAAAGTTGTTTTGGATGTATACAAAAGTCAAGTCTGTAAATATAGATAGGTTTCATGAATCTCATTATGTATTTTTGATATCATACTGTGAATAGAATATAGCGATCTGAAGATTTTAAACTTCATCTTTTTTTAATATTTATATAGCCGACTACGTGCATGCTATAAAGACTTTAGTAAATTGAGTTGTATGATTTAAGTGGATGGTCATGTGAACACATTGTGAAAGAGGGAAATTAAATTATTGAAAGTGAATCTCGTAGGATTTATTTCGAATTGGGCTACTTCCGTGTAACTGTTGTTTTGTTGAACATTATAAAATTAGAGGAGTAAACATTTGGATATTTATTTTTACTCTGTGTTTTAGTTTATAAAATTAGTTTGCAAACAGTGAGTATTATTTAAATTAAAAAGAAAACGTAAAAAATTGCTTCGCTAAAATTGTTGTGCGCATTTATTTTATTTAACAGAAAAAAGTTAATTACATCAGTTTGAATTTATATCAGTAGAAAATGGGTCTTTGTTCCATCTAAAAAAATGTTAAAAAAACAAATTTTACTCATAAATAAAAAGAATAAATTATTCCTTCTAAAAAATGTAAAAACATTTTTTACTCATAAATAAATAGAATAAATTGTTCGTTATAAAAAAAAGTAAAAAAATTTTTTTTTACTCATAAATAAGTAAAATAAATACTAACCCTACACTATTCAGCACGGCAGACTAGATTAAAAATTGAATAGGAAAAATATTATAGTATGGAAATGTACATTCTTCAAAATCCAATCAATATATTGGAATCTATACAAATTAAACAATGTTTTATAAATTATTCTTTGCATGCGTAATGTTTTATTTACAAATATTCAATATGCGATGTAAAAAGTCTTTTCACAGGGCAAAATGGGGCAATGAATAATTGAAGTCTTATCATGTAATTTATAATTTTACGTATTGATTTTGTGTAAAATCTGAAAGGTTTTTTTTCTTCCTTTCTATTTTTTTTTTCCGCTAAGTTCGTTCATTTTACGCATATTTATCATGTTATCCTATTACTCTAAATAATTTATTTATTTGTTAATCGCATTTATTTGTTGATCGCATAATCGCAAATTTTTTTTTTAACAAATCGTTGCATATATAGTATATAGCAACAAATGGACTATTGTGTAAAAAGTAAACAGTAAAGTTGTTGATCGGGATTCATATAAGTGTCGTAGAACGTTTGGATTTAAAAAAAAAATGAATAAATAAATTGTAATGAATGCTTTAATGTTCCGATTCAAAGCCTGAATAGCTGTAATACGGTACCTGCATGCATTACGACTTCAAGAACTAAAAGATTTTATTATAAATTCATTTGTTAGCGCCAAATTAAATTTTCATTTCTCATTTTGGATATAATTGAAATTATTTTTTTATGTGAATAAAATTTAGAAGAGAAAAAAAAAAGTTGACTTTATATAATTAACATTAAGAAACTGTCATCTTAAATTATGAGTGTATAGGATGTTAAAAAATACCCATGACGAAAAAAAAAAAAAATGATTTATTCAAAACTGAGGGATATCAAGTTTTTGACACGCAAAATAATCTATGTAAAATAAGCCAAAGCCTGGTTTTGTAAGGGAAGACTGCATTTTCACATATTTTCTGTTTACAGTTGTATAAATTGTTCAAGCAAATAACTGTGAGACATTAAGATTTAAGATCTTGAGAAAAGATATCTTATTTTTTAGGTGTTGTTTAGTGAAATTGTGTAAAATATTGTGATACAAGTTGATGTATTTATAAATTATGAAATGCGCGCCAATCGTGTAGTCTGACCTAGCCATTCATGTAGTCTGACCATGCCATTCGTGTAGTCTGACCAAGCCATTCATGTAGTCTGACCAAGCCATTCGTGTAGTCTGACCATGCCATTTGTTTAGTCTGACCAAGCCATTTTTGTAGTCTGACCATGTCATTTGTGTAGTCTGACCATGTCATTTGTGTAGTCTGACCAGGCTAATTGTGTAGTCTGATCAAGCCATTCGCGTAGTCTGACCATGTCATTTGTGTAGTCTGACCATGTCATTCATATAGTCTGACCAGACCCGCATGTTTTTTTACAATACTGTGAATATTTTATATATTGATTTTTTTTTGTAATTTCAAATCTAAAATACAACAATTCCATTAATATGGAGGTTTGGTGATAAAACTAAAATATCAACCATAATATAAACAATCTATATGATGGGATTATTGTAAAGTGAAATTTTATACCAACAATTTAATAAAGGTGTTAAGCCATTAGAATTTTGTATGGTATCATATGAAATAATACATTTTTGTTTAAATATCGCGTTTCAAGCACCATACTGCGATAATAAATCTGTTTTCTTATTAAAATTAAATTTTTAAAATTCAGCGCCTACTCGTTTTAAAGTATTTGTTTAAGGGATTGAAAGAAAATATTAAATTAAAAAAAAAAAATATTACGAAGCTTTGCACAGAAGTTCGTTCGGAAATGAGTCACTTTTGACGACATCATGTGCACAGTATGCAGGCTTTGATTATCATTATAAGGATAGTTGAAAATCTCCATAAATATCGCATATATTTGAAACGAGTCTATGCTACAGACATGTTACATAAATGTCATGTCGGCAATTTATACTGTCTAAGGTCGGGACAACTTTCAGATTACAAGATTGATTTAATATTTTAAAGAAAACTTCAACATTATTTATGGTTTTCTTTCTCTAGTTTCATATGTAAGTTTTCAACTTCATCTCGGAGTTATTCATCTAGAGCTTTCTAGTTTCACAACAATCATGTTAGTTTTCAACTTCAACTCGATGTTGTTCCTTTGTAGCTTAATAGAACCATTGATTCCAATACTGTTTAAACATTTTCAGCGCTAACAGGTCTAAAATGGACTTGTCCATGCTTTTAATCTGTACAAAACAAGTCATGAATTCAAATTTTAGAGAAAATTTCAAAGTTAACCTTGTCTGAATAGCGAACAGTGCAGGCAAATGATCTTGGATAGATTCTCCAGCTCAAACCGCTGTTGGTTCGAATCCTGACAGGGACTCTGGATTCCTTCATGTGAGAAAGTTAGCTTTCAGATCGTTATATCGTCCAGCCGCTAGCAGGCAGAGGATTTATAGTGTTGATACTTGATATATTATGATTAAAAAAGACAGTCACAGAGCTTTGTAGTCCTTAGAAATAAAAAATGTCATAACCTTGATTTGCAATAGGATTCCAAGAAATCTGAATACTAATGAAGTTGATACAATATAGGGGGTGTGAGAGACGATACATTTAAATCTTTACAATTGATTTCATATGGCCAGACTTGGTTAAACTAAGTCTGTAGTTTTGCACGTGTTTCTTTCTTCGTTGTCGTCTTTGCTTCTGGTCAATAATACTCGGTGACAAATTCTAATTTCATCATTTTAATTCTGAGGTGGAACTTTGAAATTTTAAATCCTGCACTATTATAAAGTCCTGGTAAAAACAGGGGCTAATGTTTTTTAATATGTCAAGATTTTGCCTTGAACTCTCATAAAATTTTGTCATCGTGTATTTATGGAAAGTCAAGTATTTTAATGGCTAACATGATTAAATGATGCATTCTCAGGTGAATTACATGTTTTTAGTATAAAATTTAGCATAAATGTCTGTTTTGAAGAGTGCAGATGATTACGGAGTTCTTAGAAATGAAAGTGAAGATTTGTTACTGTATACAGTGGAGGTTTCTAAATTCAAAATTTCACCATTATTGTGTTAAATGTTAAAGTCTGCTTCCGCAGGTGCTAGGGGTCATGGACGTTAGCTTGCAATCACCACTACTGACTGTCCTTGAACTGTGGCTCAATCAAAACCAGCATGTGGTATTTTCAGTTTTGTCATTCTGGACGTTCTGTAGGGATTCTCTGTTTTTGCCTATTTTAATAATTCTAAATTAGTTGAAACTCGGAACGAGATAATCTGATTCATATAAAATAGAGGTCCAAAATTTAATATTTAATATGGTTTGATATTGAGGAAAAAAAATTAATAGTATCGAGAAATAATAGTACAAAGTTAGAAATATGTATATGCTTCGTCCATCTGTTTGTTTTAATGCTGATTTTAACACATATTATTGTCATATCCCGGTTCGCAATCCTTCTTTTCACCGGCTTTCCTGGATATCTAACCAGTAATATAATAAATTACCCATTTCTTTCGCAACTTCTAATTCAAACTGATTTAAATATTTACCAGTATATAATGAATATCAAATACAATACTTTTAATGCATATTCCGCAGATATACTGTAATATTAATGAATGACACTTACTGGATTTGCATTACTTGCATTATAATTTAAAACCTAAAAAAAATCTCTTATAAAGGGGCACACAAAGTAAAGTGCATTATTTATAAGCGGATGTGGTCTTTGCTGTTTATATCCCTATAATTAAGAATGAAGCAAAAAGGACATGAAATTTAAGGCATAATGCATTAAAGATGTAAGAAAAATCCTTGAAATAAACTTAATGGCTTTTATAGGGTTTTGTAAAATTGTGCACAGAAAAATAAGTGATTTTTAATAAATTTAGATACTAAGTTGGATTTTTTTTTGTAATTTTGGCTCATTTTTTTTTCTTTCTTTGTATTTCATTTTGAACAAGTTTATCTGTAAGAAGAGTTATTATAATATGCAGGTAGGTTGCAGTCAGGTATTTTAATGTGTTTTTAAGTATGTTTCAGTTAAAAATAGATTTGCCAAGTACACTTGCCACTGATAGTTAAGTGTTACATTGCCAGTGCCAGTGTCTCTGTAAGATAAATAAGTAAACATAGACAATATGTGCTTTTTAATGTTTTTTTCCGACATTTTTTTCTGTCCATAGTTCTGATATATAGCATGTTTTGTGCTATTTTTCTTAATTCTGAAAACTTCAGAAGCCAATTTACCTGTAAATCCAATGTTTCTGTAATGAAGTCATGTGATTGCCATCACTCTTTTAAAACTTTTATAAATGCTGCCATGTAGAAATCGAGGGTTTGGTGCAAAATAGTTGTTACTCATATGACATTATGAACATTATGAAGGAGTTACCTCCATTTTGCACCGATCCATTGAAATGCTGCCTCGCTTTTGTAGTATATGTACTGAAATAGAGCCCGAAGTCCAGCTTTCATTATTGTGCAGTGTGATCAGACTTCAAACTGTGACCTGCTCAGATTAACTGTTAAACCAGATTGAACCGAAACTGATCTTTGCCACCAGTATAGGGTTGCCACACACCTGCCTGCATATCATTAAAACGATATTTCTTTGAATTTACATTACATACAAGATTAGCCTACTAGTATTAAACAATTCTGGGTGGAAGAGGGCAGGAAGTTTTTATCCTGCTTAGATTGTGTAACAAATTTGCCTCGCTTGGAATTTGGAACAGTTCGTTAAAAGTTTTAAATACCCAAAACAGAAAAAAAAATTGAGCCGCCAGCAGTATAGGGCATGGTCGAGACTACAGGGATGTGCAGGCTGGCCTGGCTCTGTACTGGTGGCAAATCGTTTTCGGTTCCAGCTGCTGAGGTTAAGTGTTCATCAACAGCTGAAAACATTGCGAGTTAAACGGGAAACTTTATCCTTATTGTTGGTGTAGCCAGTAATCACAAGTTTTCCTCATTGTCTGGCATGACATAAAAAAGTACTCTAATACACTGAGCTGTCATAAATAAATCGTAAACTGATAAACAGAAGTATTATTTGCTGGAACTGTAAGGAACTGTATGGTGCTGTATTAAAGCAGTTGATTATTGTGTGACGAGAGGTACTGGTTCAAGTAACCTGCCTTGTTCACAAACTTTCTTCGCTTTTTTTATCTTCATAGGTGAGTCATTTCTGACAAATTCAGGAAATTTTCGGCTTACTTCATGCCAACACTTAACTAAGTTAGTTTGACATTTGTGTTGGAAAAAACCTACAAACGTCTGTGATTGGATTTTGATGGATATCATTTTGTGTTGCAGTTAGCGTTGCACGTGCATTCTATACGTGCATTCGTTTATGTTCGTTTTCATGAGTTGTATTGTATAGTTTGGGGAAGAACTTTGGGGAAGAGGATTTGTCTGTTGAGGATTATTTGTGTACAGATCTTTAAGAAAAATGTTCGATAATTTTTTTCTCTCTTTCTTAAATGGTTATTGTGTGGTTTCTGGATTTCTTTTTTTCACTATCTGATTTTGATTTATTGTAGTTTTATTTCTTTTGTTATCTTTGCTAAGAATTTTTTGTTTTACTTTATTAAGATAAGTGCTTGAATTAAATATTCATTATAAAATTAAATCTGGTGATATTAAGATTGCGGAAGGCATCTTGCACAATATGAAATTTGCCACACTTGTAACATACGATTAATATGCGGAATAATATTAGTGAAATTCAAATTTTAGCTTAAAATAAGATTTGCATAATTTTCCAGATATTGTGCATTTAAGTGAAAAGGAGTGGATATAACGCATACGCACACCTGTCTAGTTTTTCATCTGTTTTCTTACATGCATTTATATTTACTTTTTTTTTCCGAGGATGCATTTTCGATGATTCTGAATTTTCTGTTTTTAAAGAGTAAACTTTAAAGTTGTGATGTAATTAAGTTTTGATGTGAATAGAGCAGCGTGAAATCTAATGTGATTTGTGCCTCTTCACATCAGATCGTTAGGAATATTGTTTATTATGCACGCTGAACAATTAATAAATCACAATATAGTATAATGTTGTTTACATGCAGTCAAATGAAATGCAAATTAATTTTATTTCTTCGTCACGGCTTTGTAACTGCGGCTTGTGGTTTATATCGATAGAAATTACGTTTTAAATTTATGATTATTTATAGGTGGTATTCATGTAAAGTCATGTGAACATTGAGTGAAATAAGATTTATTTTCTATTTTCAGACATACGAATTACAAGGGGAGATAATCAAGGATTTTGAAGATGACCACGTGAACATGATACACGCTAAAATAAAGACTTCCAGTCATCAAGCTATTTGTGGAAATATTTAGTGCTGCGCCATAGTTTTTTTTGTTGATTAGTTGATTTATTATTTTTTATTGAGAAAAAATATATCGCTCCGTCGAGGAAAGTTATTTTTTTTGTTAGTGTATACACATTAATTGTGTTCCATATTTAGTCAATACTTCCAAGTCTTTCATAATAACATTGTTATGGCCATGGTCAATCCGGCAGTACTGAATTTGGCCGCTGCTGCCAATGTAAAAGACTCGCGTTGGTTGACACTTGAAGTGTGCCGCGAGTTTCAGAGGAATAAATGTACACGGAGTGATACAGAATGCAAATTTGCACACCCTCCGCCTCACGTAGAAGTACAAAATGGCCGTGTAACAGCCTGCTTCGATTCTATAAAGGTACGTACAAAATGTTATTGTTAATATATAATAAACTTTTATTTGCATACCATAATGCTAGTAACAGTTTGAGTCTGTGTTTCCTTTCAAAGAATCAGCAACTTAATGTCGGCAGATTTGTTTATTTTCCCTTTCACAAAGATAATTTTTGTAAAAAATCACCTACTCGATGATGTCGAGTATTAAAATAAAATTTAATATAATTTTTTCAAATGACCATGTATAATAACATTAAAATAAAATTTGCATATTGCGTATGCGGATAAAGTTTTTTTTAAAAAAATTTCTTTTGCGATCATTGTGCATTTGGTCGGAAAAATCTTACAAGGATTTTTTGCAGCTATACCTAAAGTCTAGACCTAAAACTATAAATAAGATGCATAATTTACGAATAAATGGGTAAAACATATTATGCAGAACATTAATTTTACGAGTAAATATTCCCTTGTTGTACGCCATTAGTATAAATTGCTCGTTTACACTTTCATTTTATCATCGTATTTTCTGTGCTCATCCAAGTTTATTAATTACTATTATGTTAAATGTTATTGGAACTGTTCGGGCAATCTCTTAATGCATGAATATAAAGATGCATTTAGTATAGAGAAATTATTACTTAATGTGAACCGTCAAATTTAAATGATCCAGCAAAGTCTGAGGTTTTTTTGTGTCCATTTATAAGTGATTTCAATTCTCATTGTATTTGAAAAAAAATAAACAATGTTTTTTTTTTCATAATTCTAAATTTCGTGTTCAATTTTGAAAGTAAATTTTTCTCAATATTGGCATTCTATTTCATTTTTTCGTGAAAACATATTTTTTCTTTTCTGAATAAAATGAATATAATTTTTTCATCTTCGTTTTTTCAAAGATTTTTTCCACTATTGTTTTTAACAGAGGTGGGACATGTAGGGCCCATTCTAAACTCTTGCTCCTTGCTGATTTCTAAGTGTAATTGATAAAATGTAAGTGTAAAAACTTCATATTGTCATTACACTTAAATAATGATTTAAGTATATTGAAAGTGCCTATAAGAAATAGTATAATATAATCATCATCATTATACTTACTGTAAAGTATTTTGCTGATAAGCCCATTGTTAAATATTTCATTGCTTCTTAGTATTGTTGTTTTTTTGTTTTTTCAAAAAAAAATAAAGAAAAAGAAATGTTAGTACCCATTTTGAGTATCACTTATAAATACTAAATACTTGACAATTGGCATGTTTTATTATTTTGTTATAATATATTTTTTCCAGTGTTTACGAGCATTTATAATTTTTCTAGGTATAAGCAATAAAAAATATTTTTAAAGAAAGGTTTTTGAGCAATTTTAATAATATATGGGTATAATAACATAACCTTCTTTGAGAGAGTATAAAATGATATATATTATAATTATATTATATCTTATATATATTTAAGTTTTAAAAATAAAACATTTTTTTTAAATACTTTTTTTATGAATTTCATTATTGTGTTTGGGTATTTGGCACTATTTTGGAATACTGTTTTGATAAAAATTAAAAAAAAATGAGAACTATACATTCGTAAAATTGTACTGAACTTCATCTTTAAGCCGACAAGACGAAAAGGAAAAAATGTAAATTTATGTTAATCGAGTCAATTTAGCAGAAGTTGGGAGCCATTTACAATAAATATATACATGTAAAGCACATAATATATATGTATTCATTACAATATGAGACCTGTTGTTTTCTTATGGAATGAGAATTTTAACCAGATAATAGAGATAATGTGCAATGTTTGATAAAATGTAGGTCAAAATGGGATACAGAAAATATGGTCTGATATTCGGAACTTCCTTATGTTTTACAAGTAATATTTGCATGAGTTATGGATTTGAATGTAAATTTTTGGCACCGAAAGTAGTTCTTATGTCTGCTGGAAGGAAAGATCGCAAATTAAAAGAGAAAGCAACTATTTTGAACATGTCGGGTAAATTGGACTGCCAGCCATTTCTAGGCTCGTGATTGGAACTACGTATTTTCCCCCAAAAAGCTGCCATAGGGTTTTTTTAAATGCTGTTAATTTTCTGTTCAACTTGTTACTGAGAAAAAGTCTTCGGGGGTATGTAATTACACATCAAAGTTTTAATGATTATGCTTTACAGACTTCTCGTGACTATTTTGTACGAATCTTCCAAAGTTATGCGATTCTACTTACTACAAGTGTATAGCAAAACGTGATACGTTATGAGAACATGGTTTTCAAATCGGTTAATTTTTTCCACGTTTTTTTTTCTCCAATGCAATAAAGATTGGCTGTCAAAATATAAAAAATGTGGCAGTAAAATTGATGGCAGGGTAGTCTTTAACGAGCAGAATGAGTTTTTCTGAATGTTTTTTACGAAGCGCATAGAGAACTCATTTCTTAGGGGGTAGTTTTTACGACAACATGAAATGTGAGTTGTGTACTTCAAAGTTACAATGTATTATGCATTATGTCATCTTAAGAAGCTTGTTCTAGAAATGTGAAATAATCTTTATGATGCAGGGTTTAATATTCAAATTAATTCAATGGCAGTCCAATATGTAAAATGTTTTCATTCCTTGTAAAACACAATTTTTTTTATTTATTTTTTTCATTCTGACTGGCTGATGATAAGCCTATGCTTGATGGGTAAGCTCTGAGCAGGATCTCTGTGGGTCAATTAAAGGGGCTTATATTATTGATAAAGATATTGTTTACTGCAAAAAATCGTCATCAATCGTGTTAATGCTTCAGGCCATATATCTAAATTTGTTGTGCTGTAAAAATGAACTTTAACAGCTGCTAATTGTGCTTACGTTTAACAAATTTTTTTTACCTATGTTCATTAAAATTTACGTTTGTTAGATTTACTATAATATTTGTTGACTAGAAGATCGACTGAAAAATTGTCATTGTGCATAAAAGGAATTAGTAGCTCATGCCGCAAATGTTGTTTGGGAGATGCCAATACTTTCCAGTATAATTTAGTACTATGTCTGGCAGTTGATTTGGTCTGCAGAACGTAATTACATTAAATAATTGCATCTTCTATTACATAATCAAAGAGAATATGAAATACAACACTTTTACCTATATTAATTATAGTACATGATTCAGCACATCTGCGCTGTGTGCTGTTTCAAAGTTTTGGAATGCAATCTCTAGCCATCCCCCCTCACCCCCCCTCCCTTTTTTCTCTCTAAGTGGATTAATGCAAAGATATGTAAGCACAAAAATCATGCATTGATGAGTTGCAGATCAAACTGTGCACAAATTTAGCTGTTGTTTTTTTCTTCAGTGAAATAGGTTAACTTTATGAAGAGAAGTTAATTATTTGCCTGTGTAGGAATTCAATTCTAGTTGACTTCTGACTATATTTCATTTGTCAACAGTACTTAACCTTCTGGTTAACTCATCACTTCAGGCAACTTGTTCATTAGGCCTGTTAACTGGTTAACTTACGTGACATTCACCACACAGTGATTGCTGCAGATTAACTATTTGCAGTTTCTGGTTAAAATCTAGTAATTTCATAATCTGCAAACACTGAGTACATGTTCTGATTAAAAAGCATAAGTTAGGAGCTATAACTCTAGCAAGAAACATCACTGAATTATTTCCCTTTGTCAAATTCCAGTAAGGCCCTCGTTTATACTGTCAAGCACTTTAGAATAGTGGTCAGGTTATCTACCAATTAACTGGTTAATTTCCTAGCTTTTCGTTAAGTTTTTGCTTAATTTACAGTGCAAAGTTAAATACTAAGTTACTCAATGGATAAAATGGAATTAAGAGTACCATTCTAATCTGACATTTATGGATATTTGGACTGGTTTCCTACATTGTTAGATGGAGAATTTATAGCCCATAGAATAAAAGGAGAACCAGTCCTGATACTGTGATCATTGGCAAATAACCATAAAAAGGGTGACTGTAAGAATCAGGTGTGAAATAAATTTCCTATAAAATGCAATGGTATATGTATTGTTAATGGCTCCAGATGGCCCTATGTTTGGCATATTTTTCTTTTATCACAATATTTCTGTCTCATTCTGAAGGCAATCCAAAGTAATTCCCCACAATGGAATAGGTGTTTGAAGTCTTGTGTGCAAAAAAAAAAAAAAGAAAAAGAAAAGAATATTTAATTTTAACATTGTCAATTTGAAAATGGTGAAAAATTCAAAAAAGTAATTGAATGTTTTCATAGTTATGGTTTTTCTATTTACATTAGGACTTGCAACAAATATATTTTATTTCAAAACAAGTTTACTGTTCTAATTGCAATTAAGGCAAATGTAATGGCAGACTCGCCACATTTGGGGGTTGGGATGGACTTTGAGTTTTGCACTTTCAAATCCTTTTGGAAGGCCCTGCTTTGCGATGACAGGCGGAAGGTAAAATTCAATAAATGTCAATGCATTGCAAGTATTCACATAATTTCCTGGCTATTTTGGAGTTTAAAAACTCCACAGCACCAATCGTCAATTCAAGGACAGACAGTACATCAAAACATGGCTTTCTACTCTACCTGACCCCAACACTTCCCCAAGTTGGGGGTGGGGCACGGTTACAATTGATTTGTTACTTATTCTGCTATCTTGATTTTGAAATTGGTTAGCGTAAATTCATCCCCATCCTTATTGTTACCAAAGATCAAAATTTAGGTTTTTCAAATATTGTTACATAAATCAAACCTGCAGCAAAAGTGGTTGGCATTTTTCCCCCAGTAACAGGTTTTTCAATTTTTCAACAAGAACTTATGTTGAGAGAGTAATTACGCAAGCTTGAAAATACAGATTGTTTTTAAAAGACTCCAGACAAAACTTGCAGACATTGTGCAGAAGGCGGGACTTCCGTTTGTCAAACCTATCCCTTTACATATGGAAGGAATGAGTTCCACTTTAAAAGTTTTTAGATAACAGTGGGGAAGAAAAAGTGAAATACATAGTCTCGTAATCAGAAAACGTTATTTACAGATTGTTAGATTATGTGGGAACTTAGACAATGTTT